CTCAAAACAAAAAACAGTGCTCAAAGAAATCAGAGATGACACAAACAAATGGAAAAACATTCCATGTTCATGTATAGGAAAAGCTGACAAAAAGAAGTGATGAGGAAACAACTCCCTATTCAATAAATGGTGTTGGGATAATAGTCTAGCCATATGCAGAAGACTGAAGCTGGACCCCTATCTAACAGCATATACAAAGATCAACTCAAGATAGATTAGAGTCTAAGATATAAAACCTGAAAATATAAAAACCCTGGAAGATAACCTTGGAAATGTCCTTCTTGACATAGGCTTTGGGAAAGATTTGATGATGAAAATGGCAAAAGCAATTGCAACAAAAATAAAAATTGACAAGTGTGATCTAATTAAACTAAAGAACTCCTGTACAGCAAAAGAAACTATCGACAGAGTAAACAGACAACCTACAGAATGGGAGAAAATATTCACAAACTATGCATCCAACAAAGGTATAACATCCAGAATCTATAAGCAACTTAAACAATTCAATAGGCAAAAAACAACCACATTAAAAAGTTGACAAATAGGGGCCAGGCATGGTGGTTCATAACTGTAAGCCCAGCACTTTGGGAGGCTGAGGCAGGCATATCACTGGAGGTCAGGAGTTCAAGACCAGCTTGGCCAACATGGTGAGACCTCATTTCTACTAAAAATACAAAATTAGCTGGGCATGGTGGCATGTGTCTATAATCCCAGCTACTGGGGAGGCTGAGGTAGGAGAATCGCTTGAACCTGGGAGGTATAGGCTGCAGTGAGCCACAATCACATTACTGCTCTCCAGCCTGGATAACAGAGCAAGACTCCATCTCAAAAAAAGAAAAAGGCCAGGGTCGGAGTGGAAGCAGGCAAAGGACATGAATTGACACTTTTCAAAAGAAGGCATACACACAGCCAAAAATCATATGAAAAACTGTTCAACATCACAAAACATTAAAGAATCATTTTCAATGCAGACTGAAACCACAAAGATATACCATCTCACACCAGTCGGAATGTCTATTATCAAAAAGTCAGTGTATTTAATATTAGTCCATTTTCACAGAGCTGTAAAGATACTACTCAAGACTGGGTAATTTATAAAGGAAAGAGGTTTAAATGACTCACAGTTTCACATGCTGGGGAGGCCTCAGTAAACTTACAATCATGACAGAGGGGAAGCAGGCATGTCTTAGATGGCATGGCGGCAAGCAAGAGAGTGTGTAAAAAAAAAGCAAAGGGGGCTAAGAGCCCCTTATAAAACCATCAGATCTCATGAGAACTCATTCACTATTACAAGAACAGCATGGAGAGAACTCCAGGATCCAAAAACCTCCCACCAGCTCCCTCCCTCACCATGTGGGGATTATGGGTATTACAATTCAAGATAAGATTTGGCTGAAGACACAGAGCCAAACGATATCATTCCACCCTTGCTTCCTCCCAAATCTCATGTCCTCACGTTTCAAAACACAACCATGCCTTCCCAATAGTCCTGCAAAGTTTTAACTCATGCCAGCATTAACTCAGAAGCCCAAATCCAGGCAAGTCCCTTCCACCAAGAAACCTGTAAAGTCAAAAGCAGGTTAGTTACTTCCAAGAAATAATGGGGGATATACAATGATAACACAGGCATTGGGTAAACACAGCCATCCAAATAGGAGAAATCGGCCAAAACAAAGGGGCTACAGGCCCCATGCAAGCTTGAAATCCAGTGGGGCATTCATTATACCTTAAAGCTCCAAAATAATCTCTTTTGACTCCACGTCTCACAACCAGGTCACACTGATGCAAGAGGTAGTCTCTCACCATCTTGAGCACCTCCACGCATGTGACTCTGCAAGATTCAGATCAACTCCTGGCTGCTTTCATGGGCTGGCGTTGAGTGTTTGTGGCTTTTCCAGGTGCATGGTGCAAGCTGTCAGTGACTCTATCATTCTGGGATCTGGAGGAGGGTGGCCCTCTTCTCACAGATCTACTAGGCAGTGACCCAGTGGGGACTCTGTGTGGTGATTCTGAGCTCACATTTCCCTTCTGCACTGCCCTAGTAGAGATTCTTCATGAAGGCTCTGCTCCTGCAGCAAACTTCTGCCTGGACATTAGGCATTTCCATACATCCTCTAAAATATAGGTGAAGGTTCCCAAACCTCAATTTTTGACTTCTGTGAACCTCAAATCCCGACTCCACATCGAAGCTGCCAAGGATTTGAGTTTGCACTGTCTGAAGCAATGGTCTGAGCTATATGTTGGCCCCTTTTAGCTATGACTGGGATGCAGGGCACCAAGTTTTGAGGCTGCACAGAGCCTAGCCCATGAAACCATTTTTCTCTCCTAAGCCTCAGGTTTGTGATGGCAGCAGCTGCCATAAAGATCTCTGACAGACCCCAGAGACATTTTCTCCATTTTTTGGTGATTAACATTTGGCTCCTCATTATTTATGCAAATTTCTACAGCAAGCTTGAATTCCTCCCCCAAGAAAATAGGTTTTTCTTTTCTATCACATCATTCGGCTGCAAGATTTCCAAACTTCTATGCTCTACTTCCCTTTTAAACATAAGTTCCAATTTCAGACCATCTCTTTTTGAATGCATAACATTGAATGCTTTCAGAATAATCCATATCACATCTTGAATGCTTTGTTGCTTAGAAATTGATTCTGCTAGACTCTAAATCACCTGTCTCAAGTTCAAAGTTCCACAGATCTCTAGGGCAGGGGCAAAAGGCCACCAGTCCCTTTGCTAAAACATAGCAAAAGTGACCTTTGCTACAGGTCCAAATAAGTTTCTCCTCTCCATCTGAGACCACTCAGCCTGGACTTCATTGTCCACATCATTATCAGCATTTTGGTCTAAATCATTAAACAAGTCTCTAGGGAGTTGTAAACTATCCCACATCTTCTATCTTCTTCTGAGCCCTCCAAACTGTTCCCATCTCTGCCTCTTACCCAGTTCCAAAGTCACTTCCATATTTTCAAATATCTTTATAGTAGTGCCTCACTCTCCATGGTACCAATTTCCTTTATTAGTTTGTTTTCACACTGCTATAAAGAAATACCCAAGACTGGGTAACTGATAACTGAAAGAGGTTTAATTGACTCACAGTTTGGCATGGCTGGGAAGTCTTCAGGAAGCTTACAATTATGGTGGAAAGGGAGGTAGGCATGTTTTACGTGGCAGCAAGTGGGAGAGCGTGTGAAGGAAGCAAAGCAGGGACAGCCCCTTATAAAACCATCAGATCTTGTAAGAACTCACTCACTATCATGAGAACAGTATGAAGGAAACTACCTCCACAATCCAATGACCTCCCACTGGGTTCCTCCCTCTACACATGGAAATAATAGGGGGTACAATTCAAGATGAGATTTCGGTGTGGATTCAGCTAAGCCATATCATTAAAAAATAATAAATGCTAGTCATGTTGCAGAAAAAAGAGAAAACATACATACTGCTGATAAAATGAAATTAGTTCAGCTATTGTGGAAACTTGTGTAGCAATTTCCCAAAGAACTTAAAACAGGAGTACCATTTGACCTCGCAATTCCATTATTGGGTATATACCCAAAGGAATATCAGCTGTTCTATCATAAAGACTCAGGTATACATTAAGTTCACTGTAGCACTATTCACAATAGCAAAGGCATGGAATCAATGTTAATGCCCATCAACAGAAAACTAGATCAAGAAAATGTGGTATATATACACCATGGAATACTATGCAGACATAAAAAAGGATGAGATCATGTCCCTTGCAGGAACATGGATTATGGCTGGGTGCTATAATCCTAAGCAAACTAATGCAGGAATAGAAAACCAAATATTACATTTTCTCATGTATAAATATGAGTTAAATACTGACTACACAAAGAAGAGAACAATAGATACCAGGGCTACTTGAGGGTGGATGGTGGGAGGAGGGAGAGGACTGAAAAACTACCTATGGGGTACTATGCTTATTACCTGCGTGATAAAATAATCTGTACGCCAAACTCCCATGACACAAAATTTACTTATGTAACAAACTTGCTCATGTCAATAAAATAACATAAATCTGAACCTAAACATTTTTTAATTATATAGTATATCAGAGTAAAATTGACACTGCATGAAAATTCATTATTTTATTCCTGAAGCCTCAACTACCCCTGGAATCCTCTCTCTGTCCAAGTCAATAAACCAAAGAATGAACATATTTTCTCAACTGTCAGAAGAATCTTAAATATTGTTCTGAAATTCACAAAACAGAGCATAAATGTTTTAACTTAAATTCAGGAATAGGGGAAACTTTCTTTATGTATACCCCCTTCTTAAACAGAAAGCAGATGCATGTTCTTTTTCTAAAATTCACTAAATGTATAGAAAAAATTAGCAGAGGAATTTGACATGGAAGCAAAATTCTGGAACAATTTGCACTTTCACAATAGCAAATAAATTACCTGTAGAGTTCTTATCTGTAAAATAAAATAAATAAATGATTTTGAAATTCAAAACACATCATCAAGAAAATGAAAATACATGCCACAGACTATAAAAAATATTTGCAAATGATATGTCTGATAAAGGACTTGTTCCAGAACATATAAAAATCTCTCTTGGGAGGCCGAGGCGGGTGGATCACGAGGTCAAGAGATTGAGACCATCCTGGTCAACATGGTGAAACCCCGTCTCTACTAAAAATACAAAAACATTAGCTGGGCATGGTGGTGCGTGCCTGTAATCCCAGCTACTCAGGAGGCTGAGGCAGGAGAATTGCCTGAACCCAGGAGGCAGAGGTTGCGGTGAGCCGAGATCGCNAAGACAGAGTCTCACTCTGTCCTCCAGGCTGGAGTGCAGTGGTGTTATCTCAGCTCACTGCAACCTCCGCCTCCCGGGTTCAAGTGATTCCCCTGCCTCAGCCTCCTATCTGGGACTACAGGTGTGTGGCACCATACCCAGCTAATTTTTTTCTTTTGTATTTTTAGTAGAGATGGGGTTTCACCATGTTGGTCAGGCTGGTCTCAAACTGCTGACCTTGTGATCCTCCCTCAGCCTCCCAAAGTGCTGGGACTATAGGCATGAGCCACCGTGCCTGGCCCTGACATGTGTTTTCTAAGAGGCAAAAGACAGCCACATTCCAACATCTGTCCAGCGCACTGTCTGCAGTGAAATATGACTAATTCACACTACCCATGATAAATAACCCCACAGTGAGCCTCCCATCAGGCAAGGGGAGTTTTGCTGACAAATTCAGGGTGAGGCAGGTCAGGTTTTGTCACCAGATGAGTCCCAAGAAACCTTTTGGTTTCCAGAGCTTTTATGGTTTTGGAATTGTGGGGAAAAGACTTTAAACCCGTATAAATAAATTCAATTCCTATTACATGTCACAAAGAAGGTTTGAAAATACCCTCTGGTGGTAGGCCTAGCTTCTATTCCAGAAAACAGCAGGATCTTGTGACTAAAGGATAGAGGAGGAAACGCGGGTGAGCCGGAAACAGCTCCTCGTGGGGATGTCAGCCCGGTCCAGCTCGGCAGCTGGTGCGCTGGGCTGCCCTGTGTGCTGGTGCTCCTGACGCCTGCCCCTCCAGATGAACTCACAGGACCTGGGCTCATGAGAAGGGATTCTCAGTTGACACTCTGGCTTCAGTGAAATTGCCACTCGGCTTTCCAAAATGAAAAGTTATCAGTAGGAACCGTCCGGATCAAAGGAGAGTGTGTCCTCAAGCGCGCATCTCTCCGTACTTCTGTAGTGGCCGAGCAGGTGGGACAGACTGTGATCCCTCAGATGTGCCGCCAGACCGTAACCTCACTGCCGCCTGCTAGAGGCCACCTCCACCCCCGTGCGCTTCTTCAACTCAACACCATTCACCTCTAAGTGGGACCCGCCTCCTGTCGCCTCATCCCAGGGCCACTGCTCCTTCCCAAAGGCTGAGGGGAGTGAGGGGTTTGGAGGCTGGAGCAGGGAGGGCTGGGATTAGGGCTTTCTAGAGTTCAACTGTGCCAGATGGTATGTCATCCTCACACCAGTGGCCACGGCACCCTACCTGATATAACTGCACCTCTCAGGGGAGGCCCGAGTCACCCCTCCCCATGGCAGCCCCAGGAGGGGCGGTGGGCATGCTTCCTCTGCTCCAGGGCAGCAGCCCCATCAAGCCCCTCACGGCAAGCCCAAGGAGGCAGCTCCAACACCGCTGGGGTGTGTGTGAGGGAGAACAACTGAGGGTTGGTGCTCCACTCTGGGAAGGGCAGGCCAGGACAAATATTCGACAAAAGTAAAATGAAAGCCTAGTCTACTTGCTGTTAAATTAAAAACAATTAAATAAAAACAAAACCAGAATGACCATGACACCTGGACTGCAGGGGAAGGAGCGCGAGCCTGGCTGTTCCACCCTCCCGCCGCAGGAGCCAGGCTGGCGCTACCTGGCGATCTCGTAGAACACGCAGCCGGCGCTCCACAGGTCCATCTTGTATGTGTAGAACCCGTCAGTGAGGAGGCACTCCGGGGCCCGGTACCAGCGGGTGGAGATGTATTCCGTGTACGGCTGCTTGGAATAGACACTCCGGCAGGAGCCAAAGTCCCCTAATTTCAGGACATCCTGCTACAGGGGGAGAGAAGCAGGACAAGTAACATCTCATTATGTGGCTATCGTAATACAAACCACTCCAAATGTTTATGCACCAGAGGGAAAGTTACTAGCATCTAGTCTGTAAAATACAAATTGCCGGTGTTATGAGCACCTGAAAGTGCCTCTGGCAGATAAGGAAGTGATGTTTCTATTCAGTGGAACAGGTGTACAAATATTCTGGCTATGTTTTACACATATTTCCAAATGTCTACAGGTTTTGAAAATGGTTAGATCGTGGCGCTTCTACAAATGAACGACACTAGTTGTCTGTCCGGTCATGCCGCCAGCTGGCCCGGCAGGGCTCTTTAGCCACAAAGCCTCAGAGGAGCCTGCTGACAGCCAGTGACAGGCTCCGGGAACAGCAAATTGTACGGCTTAGCCACAGGGGGTTTAGTGGCTTTCGAGTGAGACGAACCTGCACTCCAATCCTGCCTCTGCCACATTTACCTCCAGGGGTTTCGAATGGCCATCTGAATGGGGCTCATTGTGGTCTGCAGTGTTTCAAGGGTACTTCCTGTTATTTTCTTCCAGGTGCACAGTCAGTTGTGTTGCTGGCATTTATTAAATAAAACATTTTTTTACAACCTGAGAGGCAAAAAATACCGTAACAAACAAGCTGTCTAGCTACATGGACTGAAAGCTCCTCTGGTGGGGGGAGTTTTCTATTCAACCTTTCTTCTGATACCCAGCTTTCATGTAAAGGCTCTTACCTTTATGAGGATATTCTCTGGTTTCACATCTCTGTGAAATATTCCATTTCTGCATTGAGTATAAAAGGAAAAATAGAATTAATTACACTTCATTGATTCAGATTCTTGAACTTGAATGCTAACACATTTTATTAATTTCAGGCTGTCAAATCTCTTAAGAGCATACCTGTGAATATGATCAAGGGATTTACATAACTGGTACATATAGTGCATAATTTTTTTTTCTGATAATGGGTATCTTCTCCCTGTACAATCAAGAAAATAGGCAAATATGGTTACTGACGGTACATATCCTCTTTTTTGAAATAAAAATAATCCATTTTTATTTAACAATGTGTGAAAATCTAACTTCCCCTGTGAAAAATAATCTGAAGTAGTCTTAGGAAATATGTGGTGTACCTAAAACATATCATTTAAATTTCCATATATTGGCCGGGCATAGTGGCTCACACCTATAATCCCAGCACTTTGGGAGGCTGAGGTGGGTGAATCACTTGAGGTCAGGAGTTCGAGACCAGCCTGGCCAACAGGGCAAAACCCCATCTTTACTAAAAATACAAAAATCAGCTGGGCGTGGTGGCAGGCACCTGTAATCCCAGCTACTCAGGAGGCTGAGGCTGGAAAACTGCTTGAACCCGGGAGGCAGAGGTTGGAGTGAGCTGAGATTGCGCCAATGAACTCCAGCCTGGGCAACAGGAATGAAACTCTGTCTCAAAAAAAAAAAAAAAAAAAAAAAATCGCTCATAACTGAATACTAAAAAGACAAATGACCTAAGTTTAAAATTGGCCAAATATTTTACAGACATTTCATTACAGAAGATACACAAATGGCTAATAAGCACATACAAGATGCTCAACATCACTAGTTATTAGAGAAATGCAAATTAAAACCATGAGATGTCATATTATTAATATGTATAATAATAAAATCACAGGCCATAATAAGTGTTGGTAAAGATATGGGAGAATGTGGAGAAACTGGAACAACATATATTATTCACAGAAAGGTAAATGGTGCAGCCACTTTAGGAAAAGGTCAGTTTTTTAAAATACTAAACACAGATTTATCATATAATCCAGGAGTTCTACTCTTAGGTATATATCCAAGAGAACTAAAAACATATGCCATTCTATTCAAATAGTCATTGCAGCATTATTTGTAAAAACCAAGAAACAGAAACAATCCAAATATCCATCAACAGGTGAATAAAGAAAATGTGGTACTTCCATGAAATAAAATATTACTTGGCAATAAAAAGGAATGAAATAATGATACATGCTACAAACATGTATGAACCCCAAAGACATTAAGCTAATTTAAAGAAGCCAGACACAAAAGACTATTGTACAACACTACTTATGTGAAGTGTCTAGAAAAGCAATCTATAGAAACAGAACATAGAAAAGTGGTTGCCTGGGACTGGGGTGTGAATGGGGAATGACTGCAAAATGGTACATGGGATGTCTGGGGTGATGGAAATGCTCTGAAATTAGATTGTGGTGACAGCTGAACAACTCTGTAAATTCACTAAAAATCATACACTCAAAACAGATGAATTATATGGCATGTAACATACCTCAATAAAGCTGTTACTGTACAGATAATTCAATTAACTAACTACTTTGATTGGATTAGTAGATCCATACAACTAGTGAAAGTTTTGTTTGTTTGTTTGTTTGTTTTTGGTCCAGGAGGTGCCATCTTATATATCAGAACAGAGCAAATACCTCCCAGAACCACAGACAACTCTGGGCAGGAAAAGCAAATATGGGGATTGGAGCAGATGAAAGCAGGGATTGTTAGCTCAGAAATTAGGTTTTGGAAACTGGAAATTACCATGCCCTAGAAGAATAGTGTTCAGTGGAACTCCCTGTGATGATGGAAATGTTCTGCTACTTGCTGTCTCCAGTATGGTAGTGCCTAGGCACATGTGGCTGCTAAGCACTTCAAATGTGGATTAGTGAGATTGAAGAACTAATTTTTTAAATTACTTTATCTCAATTTAAAATTAAATAGTGATATATGCCTAATAGATGCCATATTTAACATCACAATTCTAGACTAATGCAAAACACTGATGGTAACAAGATGATCCTTCTTACATTCACTCAGCAAACATTTATGAAGCTCCTCCTATATGGAAGATGCACTTGATAATACAAAGATAAATTGGACAAGATACCTCTCTTCAAGGAACTTATAGTCTAGGAAAACAATCGTGCACAAGTAGATAAATTATAAAGAAGGAAATAGTACCTCAAAAGAGGACCTAGACATGGGGATGATAATCCAATGTAGGGAAAATCATTTCCAGCTTACAAGGTGAAAAATAATGAAAGGTTTGGAAGACATAAAGCTGACTAGGATCTTAAAGAGGGGTTAGAGGTGGTCTCAATGAGGAAGGAAGGGCATTTATGGCTAGGGGACTTCCTGAAAGAAAGAAGGGCACAGATAGGGCTCACTGAAGATCAGTCACTTTAGATTGTTTTTTAAAAAGTTGTCACCAAAAACCCTACTCATTCCCCCAAGCTCTTCAAACCCTGACACTGAAAGTAGTTACAGATATTGTATCCTTCTCAGTGCATCATATTAAGAGATATGTGACTTAGGTTTGTCTCATTAGTGGTAATCTTAGGTTTGATCACTTGGCTAAGGAAGTGTCCCACAGGTTTCTCCATTCTAAAGTCACTACTTTCGTTTTATAATTAACAGTAAATTTAAGAGACACTTTTAGACTATACAAATATTCTGTTCCTTAACAAATGGTCACCTAATAGTTTTAATGTTAATTAATGAATCTTGCCTAAATCAGTTACCATGTTTGTAAAATAATGATTTTTTTTAAATCTCCATTATTGTGTTCATATTTAATAGTATTTTATTAGGACCACACAGGTTGATGGTAAGAAAGGGTTTTTTTTTCTCTCTCTCTCATTCATTTTTATACTCATTTTTATTACAATATAGACTCATGGATCCTTTGCAATAGATTATAGTCCATTGTTATCAATTTTGATGCTCAAATTGTCTCAGATTTGGCCAGAAGAGGCATCTTGAAGTTGGCTTTTGATTTTTTTCTGACATGTCTTCATTCATTTTTGAACTCTTCATTACCTTCTGGCATGAAACGTTTCTTATTCATATTCTATTCTCTCTGCCTTGGAATAAGCCAATTTTCCAAGGACCCCTGGTTACATTTAGTGAGAAAAGGTATCTAGAAACATATTTTTTAAAACTCAATATTTACACTTGATGTTTTTAATGTGTGCCATGTCCTACTTTTTAATGGAGAGTTTCTGCTAACAGTCCCCTTAATCCCCACTCTTCTGATAAAGAAAAGGGTGCTAATCTGAACTTTGGGGAGACACAACTCCCTCCAAGCCACCAGCTCAAGAGGAGAGGAGAAAAACCATTGATAATGCTATAGCAGGTACCCCAAAATCATTTCTAGTTAGTTCTTTGTGATATAAATATGATGTTATAAATTGAGGGATACTTTATCCCTTCTCTCAGAAGAGAAATGGGATATCAGAAAAAAATGTGCCAGGAGCAGGTGCTACCATCTGGGTGGCTAAAAACAGAGCCAGTATCATCTAATGAGCTGGTCCCTCCATTGTGACAGGGTCAGAAGGAGTGAAGTACCCCTTGGTAAAATTAATGTCATGCTCATGGTCAGGCTTATATTGAGAACAAATATACAGCATCCTCATTTGTGACAAGACTATTACCTACAAGAGAACATAAATGTTCCTCCAAATAAAATATGTTGCTTTTAAGCATAGCAAGAGGAAACCAGCCTCATATCTCCAGAGTGGAGAGACTAGATGTGATCTGAAATCCCTGTTACCTTTCCCAGGTGAAGCAACAGAACTGAAGACTACACCTGCCAAATCTAGGCAGGAGAAAGCTCCTATTTACATCTCAGTTGACATCAGAGGACTTACATTCACAAGACCTCTGAGGGGACTTTTTCAGTGGGGAGTGAGGACAGACTCTGAAGAATGGCTGAAGTACTGCACAAGGAAGATGAAGGAGTTAAATTGGGAAAGAGATCTGGAATCCTGCAACCTACTAAAGACCTGGAAGAGTGAGGCCTTTCCCTACTAGAACAAAGCTTAAGAATCAGTTTCCAGTTTGCTTCTGTTGCTCTTGGAAAGTTCAGTTAAATAAGTGCTTGAACCTTTCCTGTGTTTCAATATATTTTGGGTCTGAATAAGACTATCCAAGAGGCAACCTGTGTACTCCAAGGGGCCCTCTCCTGTACAGTCCTAGGTGGAACCATTGACAGCAGAACCTTCTCCAAGCACAGGGAATCAAAAGAACAACTTCTCCAATTTCTCACAGACAGTAAGAAATACTACTGGTATCCTATTTCACCTGGATTACATATGTCTGTTTCTCCTAAAATAGCCTCTGATGTGAATTGTTCATACATCTGCAGGTGACTGCCCAGGCTTTTACTCCCATTTCCCCTGTGTTCCATCCCCCTTTTCTTTAGCCCTACAAAGGATTCACTGGACCACAACCTAGCAGAGCTGGGGAGCTTAGTACATTATAGATACAGTTGGAGGTAGCAGGGACTACTGTTGCAGGGTATTTGGCATTCTTCTCTCATTTATATACTTTGCACTAAACTTTCCCCTAACATCCAACCCCACATGCCAACTTCCTACCTTGACCGTTTCTTTTAGATCTTCAGAATCTCCCAAGCTGAACTTATTACTTGCTTCCTAAATCTAGTCTTATTCCTGTTTGCCCAAGTTGTTCAGCCAAAATGAAACAAAACAAAAAAACCGAAAGTATCTTAGGTTTGCCTTAATCAGCCATCAGTCTAATCAGCCATCAAGCCTCCTTTACATCTCTGGAATTTCTTCTTTCCTCCCTGTCCTCCATGGTGGCACTGGTGGTTCATGCTCTCATCGTTTCTCATCTGGTCTGCCTATGTGGACCTAGCCCATTTGAATAAACCTGCTCTAGAAATAGATTCTGGAACAAAAACAAACACAATAATAATAACAATCCTCTGTCAGCCTCTCTGCTCTGGAATTTGTCCATAACTTCTTCTTTCTGCTAGTTCTGCTGATATTTTTCACACTATTCTCTGTGATTTACTCACTGACATGTGTTGGTTCAAATTTTGTCTCCCGATTTACTGGTGAAATGCTTCCAGTTTTGACTTTCCATCTATAGCATATTATTCAGAGTCAACTCAGGAATCACCCTTGGACATGACCTGAAAGTCCTCCTCTAGCACCATGAGCTTTACTGGGTAACAGGCCCTGTGTGGTCTCCATTCCATCTCTGTAGGACCTACCAGTAAGCCCCAGTCTTTGTCAAGGAAAAAAATCAGAAATTCTCCATCTCCATCTCTAGTCTCTCTCATCCTCAAAACATTGATGGTAGTATCTATAACTAATATCTGTTCCCTGCTTTGTAGTTTAAATCTAACTTAAATTCCTT